GTATAAATATTATAATAAAATTTTCTTCAAAATAAAATTCTCGCATAATTCAGTGATGCATGCTATTTCTTTGCTATTGTTTGTGAAATTTACTAGCAATTTCTGACTGAAAATAGATTCTACACCATTTTTGTCACTGTATCAAAATATTTCAGATGATCTAACACTTACTAATCTTTGTAAAATCTCGAAATAATATACATTTTCATACTGTACATTATTATGCTGTAATTCCTAAATTCACTTTAGCATTTCAAATGATTGATTGTAGTGAAGTTTTAGTTGATTATCTTGTGACTAAATTGTATAGAATTTTCATTTTTGATTACTGGCCATCAGTTTTTAGCAGCTTGTCAACATTGGCCAGAATTTTAAATGACATAAAATTTAATATAAGAATTTTATATTATAATGTTTTTATTATTATTATCTATAATATGTAGAAGTGTTGTTATTGTTAACTAAAACCACAACTGTAACTATTAAAAATAGTTTTCGGCATATAAAAGTCTGAAATAAAATAAAATATTAATAAAAATTAGATGAAAACTTAAACCTAAGAAATGTAAATTAAAATGAGAAATATTGCTTTGTCAGCTAACTGAAATAAACAGGCTTACATTTAAGTACTAAAATTAATAAATAAATCAAAATAAATAAAACTATAGATATATTTTGTCACGGTCTCTCGGGGAGGAAGGAACGAAGGAGACGCTGGAGAATACGTAAACTAGAATTTAATACAAAATAAACAAAAGGAATACAAAACACGGGATGGGGATGACATTTAGCAGACAGAATGACGTTCAACAGCAGACAGAAAACACTGGGAAACACAGGGTTTAAATGCTCAGAAACTAATGGGACACACCTGGGAACAATACGAACTAAACGGGGAACACCTGGACTCAAATAATAACAAATGAGGACAGGACACAGGAAGAACCAAATAAGGGCAAACAGGAACATACACGTGACAGATTGCCCCACTCCCGGACGCCGCGTCCCGCGCCGTAACAGTAACATC